TTTTGAGGCGTTTTGTACGCGGATCACGTGAGATTTCACCCGTGTCATCCCTATATAGAGCGTCTACCGACGCTCTGATACAGTGGAACCTCTCCAGACACCAAAATGGGACAGATGTCCATATTAGAGATGTGTCCTTGCTTTAGCCCACCTTCTCAAAGAGAGAGAACATTCGTAGAGTGATCATGTCCTGTCGGAGGTCGTCACCCAGTTTCAGGATCAGGCGAATGGGGCTCTGCTTCAGCACGGTTGGGTCGACATTGTACATCTCCAGCCACTGCGGCTTCTGGAGACAGACAACACCAGGGGCAAGATTCACGATAGAGATTCACAGTAGAGATTCACAGTAGAGAACGATTTACACTACCTTTTTCGATGACATCACTTTGCATTTGTTGGGTCGCAGATTGCCGAGGCGAATCCTGAATGAGACATAAATCGTGAAGCCAGGTATATACATGAGATGCACATCTTTTGATTAACGTTGCTGAATGTGGCATGCTAAATAAAAACTTAAATTGTTCGTAAAAGGAGGAATTCGCTTAAATGGGTGTGCTAAAACTAAGTCGTGCAGACGTTTGTCTATGTGAAGTGCAAACACACTGTCTAAATTTTACCGCTCCTCCAGTGGAATCCATTCCCAGTGCACAGCGAGCTCACCTGGGGTTGTAGACGGGAGTGAGGGTGAAGGTGGGAACTCCGTGTGTCTCCAGCAGTTCAGGGAGGAGAGACTGCATCTTGCTCTGGTCGTCGCTGCATCTCTGCTTCAGCTCCAGCGCGATCTCCTCCAGCTTCATCTGTATGTCCACCTGGTCCTCAAACTGCCGCTGTTTATACGTACACACAGAGAGAGAGGAGACAGAGGAGATAAATAGTAACATTTTGAGGAAAGTGATCACGAAATGTCTGCGAAACATTCTTAACAAGTGCTAAGCATACACCAGAGCGTGTATATACATTGAGATGCAAATAGTTCAGCAATATTTCCCAGCTCACCAGCATTGACTCCCCGCAGCCCTTGAGATAGGCCTCCAGAATGACTCCACATCTCTGGGCATACAGAGGATTGTGTAGCTCGCACTTGAGGTACCAGAAGAAAAAATGGCCGATCCTCTTGTTGTGGAGAGCACGCTTGAGGAGGAGTCTCGCCAGAGGGCTGTCGTGATGCGGCTCAAACTTCAGCGCCTGGTGAGAGGTCACATGATCGTCACGTGATGTGTTACGTAACCGTGGAAACGGCTCCACCCACCTGGGTCAGTTGCAGTAGAATGTCTTCTAGTTCGTCGTCGGCCAGCTCGTGGAGGGCGCTCACCGCGAACTTCCTCACATGCTCGTCGGGAAAATTGCTGTCCAACATTTTCAGTGCAGTCTGGAAGAAATCAAGAAATTGAACATTTTTAGTATACATATCTCGTGACCAAGTATAGTAAAAGCAAATGTGCATATAACACACTAGCCTAAAATAAAGGGGTATATATAAGAAAGAGAAGAACACTACCACACACCCCAAAATAAGAAACAACTTAGGAGAATGTAATCCCCTAAAACACACATACATGTAATAGTGTATGTATGTATGTACCTCAACAGGGAAGTGTTTTGCCTCCATGAGTTCAGTGAGAAGAGAATAGACCTCCAGCGTCTTGGACAGGTTTCCCCACTCCAGTTTCTCTATGTACATCGGCAGAGCCTGTGAGGGGAGGTGGCCGGGTGTGAACACAGAATGAAGCCTGTTGCTAAACCTTGCTCGTGGAGTAAAGGGGTGTGGCTTACCCCATGGAGTTTCCCCTCCTTGATGAGGTCGAGGAGTCGATGGAACTGTTTCCGGAGGGCCGTGTTGCCCTCGTCCATCCCGAGCAGACTAGTCCAGCTCTGGGGGATGGTGGCTGGGTAGTAGACGGGGTAGCTGTAGCTATCAAACTTGACGGTGAGCGTGACGGCTCTGGGGTCAGAGTTGTTGTAGGGCGGGGCACAGGGACAGGGGGTGTACCAGTCATCTCCATCTCTACCGCTGCCTCGCCACAGAGCCACCTGCATCTCCCCCATTCGCAGCATGCTCCTGTACGTACGTACACCATAATTATCGTAACTAAACGACAGGGGAAGTATTTGTGGGGTGTTTGCTTAATGTCTGCCAAAAATTAGTCGGTGGTTGTTTAATCTTTTCTTCTGCCACACAATCAATTATGGCTAAATTTCGCATTCCAGTACTGTAGAGTTGTGATCTGGCGGACTCACTGGTGGTCGATGAGGGAGACGAGCCCCCAGTAGAGGAAGCGGGCAGCCTGCGTCTTTTTCGTTCCAACTGTAGACTCCTTCCTCTGACTGGACTCTCGAACTACAAACATCAACCTGGCAGACTGTTGAGAGAGAAATAATTCATTTCAGTGCTTCAACCGTCCAGAAAGAGAGAAAAAACCGGTTGGAAATCTTCGAGAGGGAAATGAGAGGGAACATAGACAAAAGGTTGGAGCGAGAACGGGGGAAAGAAATGAGGTGGTGGTGAGATATGGGGAAAAGACAGGGGATGGAGCGAGAACGGGAAAGAAATGAGGTGGAGGTGAGAGAAGGGAAAAGATAGAGAGTGGAGCGAGATAGACGGAAGGACGCACACTGGCCAAACCAACACACACCTTTGGGACGTCTTTCTTGGCGATCTTGAAGTTCATGGTTTCCTTGATCCTGACGAGACCGTTGAGAGGTTGCGGGGAAGTTTGCTGGGTCTGACAGAGCTGGGTGGCACCGTGGTAGAGGGAGACCTCCACCACCAGTGAGGTGGTTCTAGTGGGTAGGGATCTGACTGGTAGCTGGTCCAACTTTACCACTTGGAGTCTGGGGAGAAAGAAAAAAAACCTTAGCTATTGTGAGAGAGAGGAAAGAAGGGGGTGTGTGTGTTTAGTACTCAGCAGTAGCATCAATACAAAGAGAGAACGGAAAAGCACAGATAAAGTTTTAAAATTTCAAATAAAAAATTCCTTTTTTCTACATTATTATGCAGCTCTTGAACCTAAATCTGCGAACCTCAGTTTCATCAAGTATTGTAAGTAACGAGAGAGCAAACTAGGTAACAGAGAGAGAAGGGAGGAAGAAAGGGAGAACTAACGAGAGCTCGTCCTTGACGTCCCAGACGGAGAGAGCCTGAGATTCACACTCCTTGTGAGAGAGGGCAGCAATGTCAGTGTGTAGCGGAGGCTGTCCACTGTTGGCATCCACTGGCACACTCTGACACCACAGAGGAGGGAGAGGAGAGAGAGAGAGGAAGAATAGGTGAGGTCAATTATATATGTATGTGTTAGAAGGCGCTCACGTGGATCTGAAAAGGGGTGTCAGAGAGGTGACAGGGGCATGGGGAGATGGAGAGGTGGATTGGCTCCGATTTGATGATGGAGCGACGGACGTCTTTGAAGCAGAGGAGTTCGTTCTTACCCGCGATGTAGCTGCGCTCCCCGCTCACTTGGAGAACAAAGTCAGAACTTTGGCTGTAGGGAAAACACAGCACAGCATAGTTTCTCACGTTCTCTCAATTTCCACTCCTCTTAGTTGCCTATCTGCCTATCTTCGCATCTCTGGCAGTTAAAAAATGAACAAAGCCCCCCCTCTCCGCCGTTCCCTCTCTCCTCACTGCTTCTCCTGGTCGATGAGTCCGCAGGCCACCACACATTGATAAAGCTCCTCCAACACACTGACTGCGGTGCGGTGGATGTTAACCTTCTTCACAAGAGAGAAGATCTGCTGGTAGTGGAACGTGATCTCCACCTTGTTGTCCAGAGGGATCTGCAGAATGGAATCATGGCAGTATGAGGCATAGAATCATGGAAGTATGAGATATGGAATCATGGCAGTATGAGATATGGAATCATGGCAGTATGAGATGGAATCATGGCAGTGTGAGACATAGGATCATGGCAGTACGAGGAATAGAATTGTGGAACTATGAGACATGAGATCATGACAGTATGAGACATGGGGGAATGAAATTATGAACCTTGAGAGAGAGAATGGTTGAGGTCTGTCTTGAAACCAGTTCCATAGAGAGACAGTACTTTCCCTCATCTCTTGCAGCAACTTCGCTCTTCACATAACTGCATAATCAACAACAATTTGTTGGGAACATTTCTGTAAGAGAAATCTTTCGCAATTCACAGAACAATTTTGGAGCATTCATCTTTTGTGCCTTAAATGAGAATATTGAAATTCACAGTTTTTCTTGTTGCCCATGATGGGAGTGGGTGGGAGGGAGACGAGAGAGAATGCTGACCTGTGCAAGAGTCTTCTGGCCCACTGGACCTCGTGCCAGTCGCCGTCGGCAACCCTCCACAGACACCCCGACTCCATCCCATTCGCTGGGACCTTCCTCCGGAGTAAGTCCCGTGAGGTGACCCAGTCTCGCCATGATCTTCCCGTCTCTCTCACCAGTCCTTCCTGCAGACTTCACCTGGAGATTACATCACCATTACATCATCTCTACATGAAACCATTACATCATCGTCTATAATATACAAAAACTGAGACTGGTGCATTGGCATGTTGACGACTTGAAAGACGACATCATTATGATGTCATGCATTGAGTGAGGTTGAAGTTAGAGTGTATACCCTGAGGACGGTAGTGTCAGGGGTCAAGGTGCAACCTTCGTCAGCCCAGCTCTGGTAGAGAGCAGTCGAATAGCTGTTAGTGGTCACAGTGGGTCAAGAAAAATCATACACACATCAATAATCATCGGTAAAAGCAAAGAGTGTGAGAGGTTCTAGGATACATGAATTGGTACTCGTTGAAGAGCTCGAATTCTTGTTCGTTGAGAGAGTAAATGAGGACCACGTCAGACACCTTCCATTTCCCGTCATTCTCTTCATCTTGGTGACGACTAGCGAGAGGGAAAGTTGGAATGGTTATACTGTTAATCTGGAGAATACGAGTGTGTAAGTAGGATGAAAGGGGGATAAGTCAGAGTCAGTGGAAGGATTATACGATAGACGACTGCTGAAACCAAACTCTACGACTCACTTGAGGGTCCTCACAACACATTCCTTCAGTTCTCCCACTGTGATGTACTCTGTGTGAATGTGTGTGTATTGGGGAGACAATAATTATGTACTCTAGTAACTGTCCTGTATATCATAATGAAATATGACTGAGAACTTCTCCCATTTCTATTGTTACTATATCATTTTACAACACTCCATTTCTTTGGTGTTCAATTCCAGGCATACTGCATTCTTGGCACTAACAAAAGCCAGCAAGAGACAGATTTTTTGTCGAGTTAGTTAGTTACCAATTACACGGGTAAACTGATGCTATAGATGTGTCATTTGGTGGTCTGTTAGCTAGAGACAAGCACTACTGACCTTTGCAGGGAACTTTGTGTTCAGTCTGGCCGTCTGCTGAAACTTGCACAAAGTCAACCTGCCGGTGAAGGGGGTGGAAGGGGGGGCAGGGAGAGCAAGGGGGCATTAGTAGCTATGGATATACTGTGTTTCAATCAACAATTTAGTGTGCTTGGTATGTACAGTGAAAGCATGAGCTGCATTTTTCACGTGAATGGTACCCAGAGGGTGTGTTGGAGAGACAGTGGGGAAGGCGGGAGGAAAAGATAGACTCACGTGATAGCTGTAAGACGTCTCCGGTGGAGGCTCAGAGATTGAACCTCTGTCTCTCCTCCTCTGTCTCCTAATGGCCGTCTTTCTCCTCAGCTTCTTCATGTCCAGCATCGCAGATGCTCTCTTTCCCTTCCCTCCCTCCCTCCTCCCCTCCCCCTCCACTCTCAGCGAAGAAGAAAACTCCTCTTTCGACCGTGGAGAAGGAGGCCCTTCGTACCCATAGCTTTCTGTCGTCCGAGACAAATCAGAAGAGTCTCGCGGAATGAGGGACTGTTTTGCGTCTCGTTGCAAGGTGCGGCAGCCCTGGCCTCTTGATCTCTTGGGAGTACTTTGAACGTGGACTGCAATTGTCCCAAGTTTTGGTCGAAACTGGGATGGAGAGAGCCTGTCATCTTGTCCCGGAGAGTTCTCCAGGATGGTGAGCAGGTCTGAATAGCTGTCTTGGCTGCGGAGGGGTGTGGTTGCTGGAGAAGGGGCACTTGACGGATGAAAATCTTGTTTCAGGTGTCTGTTGCTCATTGAATGTCTGCCCACTCCGTTTTCAACCACAACTTTGTCCTCTTCCTCTTCTCTCTCGTCCTCCTCTCTGTCAGTTGCCATCGAGGGCGAAGAGATGGTTCTAGAAAGATCTAGAAGGTTCTCCTGGCAGTGGTACAGTTCGCTGGCAACTCTCTCCAACAGACGGTTGTCAGGGTCCTCTTTATCAGGCAGTGTTCGCTTCCCGTGGCTATTTTGGACCGAGGTTTTCTGAGCGATGTCCCAGTCGCTGGAGTGAGTTTTGAAAACTTTGGAGTGAGTTCGCCCGGTTCCATTCTTGGGTTTCCCCTCCGAGAGAATGTCGGTAGTGGATTGGACTGGGGATAGAGGGGTTTCTGACGCAGAGCCCCGAGTCTGGACCGAGTGACGCGGCGTTCGAAGGAACTCCTTCACCATTCCACTACCCTTCCTGGACAGTGCTGGTTCATCCTCACCTTCAACATCCCCCTCCCCCCTCTCTTCTTGTGGGGACGGCCTGTAAACAGAGGTAAAATTGAGGCCTATATTCAGGTACATGTGGGAGCAATGAAGACTAAGTGCAGTCACATTCTGTATCCCTACAACAACTGTGTGGTGCAATAGCCATCCTATGATCACATGCTTTCGTATTGCTGACTAATATACTCCATGTTCAGGGCGTGAGGTAAGGAATGCCGCCAATGAAACCTCTCTCCTCAGCACCCCAACCAATCATATAGCTTGAGGCTGAGATCATACTCACATCCAGGAAGGTGTGGGCTAACTGAGTGATGGTGGGCTATCATGAGAGGCTTCTGGAGTGTGTGGACTGTTGTGGTGACAGACTTTCAAAGTGGGGTCACAAGCTAACACTGCGAGTGATGCAAGCCAGTCACGCAAGCCAGTTCAAATTATAAAAACCCTATTCTATACAATTGTATCAGATGGTTGGGCCTCTAATTGGGTTATGAATGTGTATGTACTTCGTCTAGTCTCACATCTCCACCTTTAGAGAGGGTCTGGGCATGAAATGCTTTAGTCTAGGAGACATATATGGCTGGGTTATGTTTGAGGAAATGTCACAGCCAATACAGATTGCTAGGAAATGATTATGACTGGGTTAATGCTCTCAGGGCCACCACCGTAAGGAAAAGGAGGTCGAGGATGCACGACGTCGTCTCACTCTTTGAATAGGTAGAGGACTGGAGTAGTGTCATTCTGGAGGGCCTCAAGAATGCAATCCACTTCGTTTGGCTGTTTGGACAAATCTATCTCCACAGACTCCTCCCCCTGCATGTGGGCATGAGAGACACACAGTGAGAGGCAGGGTTATTACGGAGAAATAATACTCGTGTGGCAGCCATAGCACTTTTCCCATTTACCACGCACCCAGAACAATGGACGGAACCGGCATTACAGAGAAATGAGAACTATCGCTGATGTGGATGCAGGAATCATTAATTAATAGCTGGCTAGAGTTACTTCGACTCTCTTCGCGGGCCTCTGTTTGTTGGAAACAATAGAAACACACACACAACTCAATGCTCTGCATGTGGGAGGACCCCTGGAATATAATAATACGTAGGAAATCTGTCATTCTGATGTATAGGCTTTGCAATACTGTTAAAGAAGGTAAATCTATTATGGATCATTGACCAAGCACTGCATATCCTGCCAAAGGACCAGGAATGTGTTCTCATGGGGATTATCTGGAGTTGAGACAGGTTGTGAGGCTCCTAAGATCTATCAGTTTGATAGTAGTATGTAGCACTGGCCGCAGCTAATAGGCTGAAATAACACTGTGGCTGAAGTTCAAAACCAGGCTCATATGGTACGGTATGTGACCAACCATGCATTAGCTACTCACAGGGGCAAAAAGGCTGGAGAAACACTTACATGCAGTTAGTTGCTCAAGTAACCAGTTCATGCACGGCCAACCCTTGCATTAGATTACAGATAGCACAATGCCACATACTTACAGCGGCGAAGAGACTAGAGTAGCACTTGAGCTGTGGCTCTGAGACAGAGTCCTCTGTGCTACTAGTGGAGATACCAGAGTCACTTCCACTGCTGTTGTGCCTCTGCAGAGAGAGGGACAGAAGAGTGAGCGTGACAGCTGCACCAGTGAAAGTCTGACCATGCACCATTGGAATTACTAGGAAATTGATGCTGAAAACGATACTGCAGAGTACAAGTGGTTTTTGGGTGGTCTAGATAACTGGGGAAACTGTGGCAGTGAAATTACCATTGATCAGCTTGTATAGTAGATACTCAGTCAAATTCCTCTGCACTATAATGCCTACTATCAATACACACGTGGTGCAGCTAGTCTAGATTATTATGACTTAGCCAGAGCAGTCTCTGCTGCCGACCTTCCTGAGAGCATCTCTGCAGATATCCTCCAGAGAGGCGCCGTTTCTTGTCTGCACCAGCAGCTCCCCGACCTTCTGCAGGACTCCGTTCTCTTGCTCGTAGTACACGATCTCCAGATCCATGCTGCATCAACATTCATATACACTAACAGTTCTATTATCGTCTACACTGCGTTTAGACTGCGGTACGGACATCTGCAGTGGATTACAGTAGCTAATGGCTTACCTTATTTTCGAGACGAATGGCTCCAGGCAGCTACGCATGAAACTGCCTTGCGAGGAATTCCTGGCAGTTCTACGGACCTCCCGCGCAACTTCCATCGCCGCCCCGTCGCCGTATCAACACTTGTCGCTGTGAAATCAACCCACTTTTTTCAGTTTCCGCACATGATATGCACTCTTCTCTAGCTGCTGCGCACGTACCAACGCCGCGGTTTGGGCGTAGTTAATTACCATTGACGCGTGCGCAGAACAAAATTCTCTTTACGCAACAGTATAACAAATGCAGTCACAGTTTTAGCTAGTCGCTGCCATTCTTAGCAATGTGGAGTCGCCACATTATCTGTACGGTCCACTTGAGGTTGAGGCACTTTTGAATGACCTTTCTGAACCTCATTTCGGCCACATGCTCAGATGTAGTGACCCCAATCTCTAGTACGTTCCTGATGTAGTTGGTGTCCTCCACACACGTCAGCTCAGGGATTCCTGTTGACTTCATCTGGTGTCATTAGAGAGATGGGGGAAGACAGGGAAGGGGAGAAAAGATCACAGAATGAAGAAATGAAAGTGGGAGAGGGACAGAGGAAGAGAAGAGGGAAGAAAAGATCGTAGCAAAATAGGGAGGGAGAGAGGGGAAGGTATAATGGAGAGACAGAGAAGGAAGGGAAAGGAGGGAGAGAGGAGAAAGGGGTTAGAAGAGAGGCCAGCTCCACTCACGAGTGAGAAGAGGTTGATGATAAGGTCGGCATTTCTGCGGAGAGTGAGGAATGCCCGGCAGCAGAGGTTCTTGTACGTCTCAAACATTTCACTGTTCTGGAAACACAAACAACAAATCTGGTTGGAATTTGCAGCAACATTTTCTCTACCTCTCCACCCATGACGTATACAAAGTCTGGCGTCAGAACAAATGGAGCCCACTCCCTCTTGAATCCCTAAGTGAAAAAATACGTGTTTTCCACCATTGATCAACATTAATGTCTGTATGACTGAATTTCAACATAGTATTTACCAGGATTTACCATAAAGTATTTGATGTGGCCGAGGAAGTGTCCAAAGTCAATGTGGAACAGGTTGCCACATGTGGTGACCATGATGTTGTCATTGTGTCTGTCTCCTATCCCCTGTGTGTGTGGGACATCACATGATCATCACATGACCGTCATGTGATCACGGTCTCACCAGGACATAGGTTGCGACAGAGTATCCGGCACAAGATCGAGTGAACTTCTTCACCGCTGCTTCTACCATCTCCCTGTCTATCTCTCCAAACTCACTAAAGAGTGAAAAAGTAAAAAAAAACAACAATGTTTTTCACTTTCTGTGTGTTTGGATTTTACTCACTTTGTCTGGTGAGATTTTATCCACTCGAACAGTTTCGTGCTGTTTGTCACACTAGACACCTAAAGGAACCAGTGCAGCGAGAGCACATTGATTTCCACGGTGGTATAAAATTCCTCTGACCTCCTTGATGGTTTTGGCATTCTTGACCACTTCAATAAAGCCAGTCTGAGGTCCAGTCGCCATACATCCGTATGGAATGAGCTCCAAGTCTAGTCCTTGCTCCTCCCACAGCTAGATAGATACATCGGTTCCCCTCGTGAATAATTCATGACCTATCTCACAGCTATACCCACCTTCTCAAAGAGAGAGAACATTCGTAGAGTGATCATGTCCTGTCGGAGGTCGTCTCCCAGTTTCAGGATCAGGCGAATGGGGTTTTGCCTCAGAGCGCTGGGATGGATATTGTACATCTCCAGCCACATTGGTCTCTGCGTGTTTTCCAGTTAAAAAAACGTAGCCGTGTGAGCCGTCTTTAGTTAGTGCATACTTACCTTCTTTGATGTCATGACTTTGCACTTTTTAGGGTTTAACTTTCCCAGGACCTGTCTGTTTTGTGTGTTTGTGTGTACGATGTTTTATAGAGCATTGTTGAGGATTTTGGCTAGAGATCTATACATCTCTTTGTAGCCTATAGTTGAGGTGTGAAAGACCTTGGCATGAAACATACCTGGGATTGTGGACAGGAATGATGGTGAAGCGAGGACTTCCCAGCTCCTCGAGACGAGAATGAACAAGAGCCTGCATTCTCTCCAAGTCTGCTCCATTGTCACTGTCTTTCTGCAGCTATAAATCATGCATCACAGAACCATAACAAGAAACCCTCACATACGAAGGCTAGCTATAATATTTGCAGGCCTCATATTATGTGTGAATGTTTATTTGTACGCTGCTCTATTTTTGGTAACAACCCAACATTCCATAACAAATCCAGGCACAACAAACCAAGTGTTTTGTTGACAGTTTGTTGAACCAATTCTGACTCCCTATTAATTCTGCCTACATGTCTCCGTTCACTAAAAGGATGCACCAGTAGGACATATTGGGGTGGGAAACCACCAGTTATAACTGATTTATACCACAACAGGACATGGTGAAAGGGAGTGTAAGGGAGGACACACACACACAGACACACTCCTTCCAGGCAAACATCTTGCGGGTAAGGCTTCTAACTACATCACATCATCTTTCTATACTGGAGACGCACAGGTATCTATAGGGAACCTCCCAGGGAGACAGGGAACTTTCAGGATTTCAGGTGAAACCAATGATGGTGTCATTCCTACAGAGCTGAGGACCGCTTGCTCAGCAACACAACTACCTTATTCGTCTGCCGTTTTCTTCCGTTCACATACCTTTACTGCCATGTCACAGAGAGAGTTCTGTATGTCCACCTGGTCAGTAAACTGCGTCTGAAAAATGTAGAATAGAGTTTGATACTATAGTGGCCAAGGGTGCAGAGTAAAGCATGGTTCACAATAGGACGCTAGACTTTTGTTTCGTTTCATCACCGACCAGTAGAGATTCTCCGCATCCCTTCAGGTAGGTCTCCAGAATGACGGCAAACCGAGCTGTGTGCAGACGACTGTGCATCTCTGACTTGAGGTACCTGCACTCAGACAGAGGCAGACACACACGTGCATCCTTATTTAGCATGGAAATAGATATAATTTTGGCATAGTTAGTCAGGGAAGAAAGCATCGTGCTTTTGTCAGCAGCTAAACTTAGATATTATGACAGGAAGAGTAAGACTACATATTATACTTAAGCACTGGGCTATAAAAGGCTGGTCTTCCACCCTTTCTCTCTCTCTCTAAGTGTTTCTCTGACCAGAAGAAGAAGTGGCCAATGGTTTTGTTGGTGAGTGCCTTTTTGAGCAGGAAACGGGCCAGTTGGCTGTCGTGGTTGGCCTCAAACTTTAGCGCCTGCAAGAGAACACCACTATTGAGCAAGTGTACAGTGTGGCAGTAGAAGAAGGAAGATTGGAGAGGTTAGTCTGGCTCACCTGGACCAGCTGGAGGAGGTAGTCTTCAAGCTGTTCGTCTGACAGAGTCTCCAGTGCCCTCACTGCAAACATTCTGACGTGCTCACTAGGGAAATCGCCGTCCAACAGCCGCAGAGCAACCTGAACAGACACATGAAGACAAGCTAACAAAAATCTCCAGTTGCGTCTTATAGTAGCTCTTTACTCTGGTAAGGTATACGATGCTCAACCTGTTAGCAAGTTCTGTGTCCTCCACAAAGCTTATGATGGGTGCTTCTAGATTGGCTCTACAGACATGCATGAAGCCTAAAGTGCATGCTTCAACTGGTGGTAGCTAGGCTTAATGTACTAAACCCCCAGAGTATGGTAATGAACCAGACATACGTAGTCCTGGGACATCTTCAATGCTCTTCTGTCTGCAGCTGCATCCAGTGAGTGGAACTGCTCCAACATCTCTGGGAGGTTGTTACCTCCCAGAAGATAGTCCGGGACTTTCTAATGGCATAGACACAGAGAGAAGGAGACAGCCAGTAGAGAGGACAGTTTCTGATTACTAATAGTGGCTCACTTTGGTAACATGTAGTTTGTCTCTCCTGATGGTCGACGAGATGTCTTGAACTGCTTCTGCAGGGTATGTTCTGAGTGTGTTTTGGATGTTGCCCTGCATAGAAGTAGAGGGAGACCATCTTCATGACTCTCGGGAGACATTTGCTGAATCGATATAGCATTGGCTCAGCAATACCTAAAGCTCGGCTATCATATTATGGTGTGAGTCACACAAGTTTCGGGATCTATCAGTCGTGTCCTCTTAGCCCGCATGTATAGCTAAGTCTTTCGCCAAACGGTATGAACGAGAGGTTTAACTGTGAAGGAGGTGCGGCTCTCTTCTTTGGTAGAGTAAAGGATGGGTCCGGGGTGGATTGGCTCAAATAGTCCAGGTCTCCCTCACTGGCCGGGGTGACCTGGGGATTGTTGGCGGGTGAGTGACCAGTTGGGAGGGACCGCAGTCGAGTGTCTCCTGTTCTCCAGTCGTTTTTTCTCCGTCCACAGCCTCAGTTCTGCTCTCCTGCCATAAGTACCACTGGGA